GTTTGGGTCACAGCAGGGGTCTCTTCTCTGCCTGGTTTTGATGCGGCAGCAATAGCAAACAGTCAGTCTGTCAACATAGAAAACATTCTGAGCCTCTATTGCTTTTTATATCCAAGATGAAACTCAGCTGGTTTGACTTTGTGAAACAAGTATTTTGTTTTTATTGCAAGCCTTTAAACATCAGTTAGATTCCATCCATCCATCAGGTTGTTGTGGCAGGAGCTTACTCTTCTCATGCCTTTCACCAGCACTGCTTTTCCAGCTCTTCCTGGAGAATCCCATGGATCCTTTAAAAGTGATAGAGCACTATCTCTACTCCAAGCTCCCTTTAAATGTCCAAATGCTGTACCCTGTTAGACAAGATCTGATTCTATTCCCAAAGCTCATGACTACAATCGATTGTTAAATTTGAAAGCTTTGCCTTCCAGCTCCCTCCTCACCACTACGGTCCAGTGCAGTGATTGCAATTCTGCTAACGCTGCACTATAATCTGCCTGTTGATCTCACACTCCATTATACCTTCACCCATGAACGAGTGAGATCTTTTACCTCCTTCACTTAAGGCACTTAAGTTCTTGCAGTGGTGGGAGCTGGAGACCTCGCTGACAGGGGCCTCAGCCAGACATTCCCAGGTCAACCTCACTACACATCTGGGTTTACCAGGTCTGTCCAGCTGTTGGGGATTAGCTGGTGCCCTGACCCTTTTCAAAGCCTTGGGTGTTCTGGTACCTGGTAAATGTATTAAACACCCTATACACAAAATTGTTGTTTGTTATGGCCACTCCATGATGAGTGTAATAATAAAGACAACACACAGGTTCAGATCAGGCAGGTCGTTTCTACCAATGATCTGCTTCAGGTTTCTCATTCATTGCCCAGAGGAGCAGTGAAGTCTCCAAGGGCGACAACATAGTCCCCAGTTGTTGCCCTTTTGAGGACCCTCTCCAGATACTCCAAACGTACGAACAACCTCCAATGGAACAGAGGCACCTCTTTTGCTCTCTGGGGATAACTTGAAAACATCACTGCTCAACTGGGGCTTGTGAGTATGGAACCTCACAAAAGACTCCAAGTCGAATATTGTTATGTTAATTATAAGTTTCATAGGAATGCCACATCTCTAAAATAAATCACAACTAATGGACAAGATATCAAATATGAATAAAAGAATAAAGCACTGAATATTTCATTATGATGAGACTTGGGACCCGAGTTGAAAAATGTGATCACTTACTCCAAGAGTGAACTGTGATATACTCATGTAATAAAAATATTGGGCTGACTTTGATGAGCACAAAGAACATGGCTTATCAAGCAGTGGGGGACAGAGGGAGCGAGAGGTTGTGGAAGCTGCCTGAATGTAATCTAGTCTTGCAGGTGCCATGGTTCTTAATAGACATAAAATCTACCTCAGTCAGTGTGTATGGAAGAAAGGATGACGCCAGAGGAGGCTGAAATGATGCAGAGCCACAGATGAACAAGGCAAGACATTTACAGTCTAATCGAGGTGCTCACAGACAAAGAGGAAAACACAAAATACTTATACCCTAGTATAATGGTGTGCGGCAGCTGGTGAGCTTAAAGAGTTATGCAGTTTCATTAAGGGATGGTACTCAATTACAATGAGGAACTCTGAAACATTGTCACTAATTATTTCCCGTTTTGTGAGGAATCCGGAATAAAAATTATACTTTCCACCCACCATGCCATACGCCAATACCGTAGCATGGTGGTAACGATCAGTTGGTGTGGGTGTGTTTTAATTGCACACTGTCCCTTTACTAAAATTGATATTCTGGCATCAGGGGTTTGCCTTGACGCTGAGACTGTGGAATGGTTCAATTGACATCACGATAAATTCACTCTTTCCCCGGCAATCACACTCTCAGTTCATTTGAAATGTGAAATGTGAGGACACCAGGAAGCAATGAGGGGGTGTGCAACACAACATTAGAAAGACAGCACTAATATCTTTTTCAGAATGTCCAATGCGGCAAATGTTCAAATGGTGTATTTGTCCCAGCGACAGCGAAGCCATACCCTGACTCAGTGTGGGATCTTTGTTTTTTTCCATCCTACAGTTGATTTTTTTCTCTTCCTATTTGATCGAGCCTCACGACACAGATGCCATATTAGACGCCACATATCCACAATTAAAGCCTCTTTGCCTCGCTCTATCTCATCGCCCAGCACTGAGACCACTTCATTACCACCTAGCTCCTCGTGTCAGTCAAAGGGTCGATCAAGCTCAGAGTAAATGGCTACAAGGCGACAGATGTATAAAGTTAATTAAAACTAATTTTAATAAATAATTCATTGATTGCAGATTTGCTGCGTCACTGGACATGCAGTAATGTTATATGCCATCCGAATGATCTTCCTAATAGAGCAGAATCAAGTTGTCGAGGAAAAAAATAAATGTCCACATCCGGAATAACAGTTCTTGCAGAAATGCCACGACATTTATTCTGGTCTCCTTACTGCAGCACGGCAGGAGCTTTAGACTGAGGAGATAAGCACCACCATTATCGAGAGCAATCAAGTTAATGAGTGTTTAATTGGGAACACTTTGCTGTCAACGATTCAGCACAGAAACATAAGTATGTTCTCACTTTGCCTAAGGAGCACTTTCTTACCCTACAGATTCAGGGTTATTTAAGTTACAACAACACAAAGATAAATCTTGTGCGCCAGGGTGAGTTGGTGCAGACGTTGGTGCTCACTACCAATGATAGAAAAGTTTGAGTGGTTTGTGTTTGTACCCACACACTTACACACACCTGGCTGGTTGAGGATAATGGTGTAATAGATTTGAAGCAGTGGCAATGGCAGGGGATCCAGGAGGATGGTACTTAATGACGGACACTGAAGGTCTGCATCCTTTCGAGGACACAAAGGTGTGATCCCCGTAGACTGAGTAGTCTTCACAGGCACAGCCAAAATGAAATAGTCTGGTCAGGATTTCGTATTTTCTTAACCAGCTTGTCACATTATTAGCATTGCATCATACGCTACTTTGAGCGGCTACATTTACTACAGAGCCATCGGAGCATGGCCATCAACAATCCAAATTCTGTATAAACCTCTGTTGACGCTGAATTATTTTGAAACCTTTCCTGTACACCCCGATGTCGGAATCCTGTCGCATAAATTATAGACACATTTTTGACCTTTTAGCTTTAGGCATTTTTTGTTGTTGTCTTGACTCGAGTTTGAGGTATACATATAGCTCACTACAGGCTAACGTTACATGCTGTTTGTTGCATGTGGAACAAATTGATTGAGTCAGAGAAAAATTACCTCCTCAAGAAATCCCTCCTGGGGCCCAAAAGAAATGAATAATTAAATACTAGGTATGCTGTTGGTAGCTAAGCTTTTTAACGTCAGTGCAGCCTGAGACTGATTGAATACACAATTGGCATAATGACTCAGTGATTATTATCAGAGAGCTGTACAGTGGATAACTATCAACTGCTCAACCCAACCCTGAGGCACCATTAACATGCAATACAGACCCCTTTGCAACAGAAACCAAAGCCTAATAATGAAATTCAGTGGGTGTGTGAGCTGTGTATTCTCCTTTGTGCAGTCTGAGTACCCTTGCACCTCCAATTTCCTCTCTCTGGTGCACCGTCTCATTGTCCTTTCCAGACTCATTATGACTCTGTCTTTATGTGTCTGTGGTCCATTTGATGTAGAATGACAAGGCAACGGTTACTTTATTTAGTTGCTGGAATTCTGGCAGAGAACCGTGTAAACAAAAAGACAAAATCTATAATCTAATGATTAATTAGTCTTCACTTCTCTGTTCGCTTTTCAGTCGTATGTCTTATTCAACCCAGTGATGGAAGAAACCCAACCTCAGTCCCTGCAAAACAGGCCAACTCTGACATTAACCTCGGATAATAACAATATTTGCTGTCATTAATCTTCCAGTGTTATTTGTGAAGGCTATTTATTCTGAGCCTTTTTATGGAATATTAACTATTAATGTGACACGATTTATACATAAAGTGTTTTCTTTATCACTTTGTTAACACATATCCCAGGTTGTTGTACCCTTGTACGCCATCTTTGTATATATTTATTATCATATCACATGTGTTGGTTAACATGCATTGTGGGTATTTAACATGGCAACTTAAAATATTTTTCAGTTGGGTATTTAGTCTCTTGTGCCGCCATCTTGCACTTTTGACTTCATTTGGAGCCATAGTCTGGGTGATAGTTAAAACAGAGTGAAAAGGTTGGAAAGGTTAACACTTGAAAAAGCATCAGTGTGAAAATACCTAAATGACAGAAACCAAAGTGAACTTGAACTTTTGACTTTTCAGCTTGGCCAAGTTCCAATCATCAACACAGAGGAGGCAGGATTTATGACCTACACTTCAGCCAGGTACCCAGGGGCAATCAGGATCAAGTGGCTTCACTTTTTGGAAGCCGTCATGTCGTCTATCTTTATAGACAGTCTATTATTTACGACCTCACATTCGCTTCATCTCTGTCCTTTCAAATGGAGATGTACAATAAAGAAGGGACAGGTTTTCTGAGTGACAGCATTATTTCATGCACAATTGATATTCTTGTTAGGAGCCAGGAAAACGTCAGAGTTGAGATAAGGAGGAGGGAAGTCTGCTGATAGTTTTCACTGTTGTAAAATTACAGGTCTTATCAGCCTTCATAACTGTGTCTATATTCAGGTAACAACACAAAATTATGACCTGAATGCTGAGCACAAATACGGTTGGAACAGAGGAATCACATGAATACTAACTAACAGAGTAGAGCTCGTCCGTGATGGTCTGGTCATGTTTCATTCTGCCTTCAGATGATTAAAGTTGGATGTATAATTAAATGTAAACCGCTTCAGCAGCTTTTTGCATGAATCTCAAAGGCTCCAATAGAATGGAAATACAACTTGTGCTAAAGTGAATGAAGTCAAGCATTAAAACAAAACTCTGTGATGCATAATGTTGTATTTCAATCAGAACAGGACTCACCATAAGGTTCTGGTCCTGGAGAAGCTCTTGTCGACCCTGCAGAGAAAGAAATAACAGCAGATTAATGCCGATTCTCGTCCGGTGTATTACTGAAAGATAATAATTAGCTTCCGAATACCAGTGTATACATGCATACACTTTTCAATATATATTTTTGACCTTAGACAATTTAACTGGTAATTATTAAGTCCAAGTCACAACTGCAGCAAATTTTAAGAAATTCCCTAAAGACAGACTTGAGATATCAAGTTCAAGATGCTAAAAACATGTTTTGTGAGACGCTTGACCACCGAAATCAAATGATTTAATCTGTGAGTCTAAATGAAAATATTACCAAATTAGCAAGAATTATCTTTAGGCGATATCACAAGGCAAAAGAGAGTTTGGTGAGGTCACAGTTTCCTTGACCTCTGACTTTCAAAATAGAATCAGTTCATCTGTGTGTCCAACTCAACATTTGTACTAAATTTAAAGAATGTCCTTGAAGGAATTCTTTAGATACCGTGTTCACAAGAATGAGAAAGAAAACTTCAATCAGCAGCAGAACAACATCAGCATTCAGCTTACGGCAAGTTTCTGACGGTTTCTATTCACCTAATGAATGTTTACTCTCCTTTTACTTCTTGCTGCTTACATCCCACAGACTGAATATAAAGATGGACGACACGACAAGACAAGCCTCTTTCTGTCATATTTGTTTCTTTGATTGGGCAGCATCCTTCAGCTCCTTTTTCCTTTGTATTTTGCCTCGCTCTTATTTTGTAATCTTGCTCAACTCATTTGTGCGATAAATAACTTATTTTTACCAGTTACACTTTGTTTTATGTTCTCCTTCCTCACACGAACAAAGGGCTGTAACAAATACCAGTGAACTTTGAAAAAACAGGTGAACAGCGCTCTGCATCAGCGGCGGCGGAGACTCATTAACGTAAGTTACGTTGTCGATCACAACATCATCTCATCCACAACAACTGATTCTGCAGTTAAAGGGTCTGCTTAGTCAGTCGTGCTTCACCGAACTATGAATAAACTGGTGAACAGATCTTTGTGCAGCAGCGGCCACTGCGCTAGTTATATAACTAGTAATAAAAATGGGAAATGAGTATATAAAACGGACACAGCTTGCAGGATATAGGAATTATGATATATCATCGTTATCTTGAAATGTTTATATGGTGCAAGTGTTATCTGTAAAATGAACTGCCTGAGGGGAAACAAAGTCTGTTATTCTCAGTTTGTGCATCACATTTACAGAGTGGTAAATGCTGCACTCACTTTCATTTGCTCTGCATACAAATGAAACAGGAAACAGCAAATTCTCCCACCTGGATCAATCTTCCAGAAGCCTCTGCTTGAGTGGACACTGGTTGGGGACAATCAATCTACTGATAATCAGGGCTTATCCCTTTTTCCTCCGGGGTAAACCAATCAAATAAAAACTGCTACCATTTGCGACACAAATGCACCTCAGTGAAAGAACAAAATGAAAATAACACAGATACCTGAAGCCATTCTTCTCCTGTTAGTGGATGAAGAGAGAAAAGACAAGTGATGTTTCTTTCAACTACGACGTGCAAAGTGTCAGAAAGACTCAATTTGGACCATCCTTCATCCATATATCAAGATTTCTCAAGGATTCAAATTTTAATTCCGATGTGACTTATCCATGTAGCAAGTTAAGTGCCTCAAAAACAATATACTTACCTGTCATTTGTCAGCATATTGATTATTCATTTTCTGTACAAGGTCTCACAAAAAACCTTTCAAAATGATAAATGAGATTCTGTAAAAAAAAAAAAGAAAAGAAAAACCCACTCACTAAGATTTACCCAAGGAGAGTAGAGATGCATTCAAAGGCTGCACTTGATTTCCTCTCACCTCCATAAAATATTCATAGAATGACATCTTATTCAGTTTTACCATAATTGATTTATGCCAAAGAGGGCTTGGGATGTATAAGAGCAGAGTGCACAGTCTGACACCATCTGCGTTTTTTCTTTTTAAGGAGCAGCTAAAACCCTGTTTTTAGATTAAATATCCACTTGTCAATTTACATATTACAAAATTAAATACAGACACACATCCTTTCTGCATGACTAATGGTGGAGGACGTTTTTCAGATCCTGCAGTAAAAATAGAAATGTATTTAAAATATCAAAAACTGCCCCTGTAATTGATATACTGTGATATTTATTGGACGGATGGATAATTGGATGGATGGATGGATGGATGGCTGTGTAGGTACAGAAGATAGATGTATGGATTGACGAATGGATGGGTAGGTAGGATAGAGGGATGGCTGGCTGGATGGATAATTGGATGGATGGATGGATGGATGGCTGTGTAGGTACAGAAGATAGATGTATGGATTGACGAATGGATGGGTAGGTAGGATAGAGGGATGGCTGGCTGGATGGATAATTGGATGGATGGATGGCTGTTTAGGTACGGAAGATGGATGGATGGATAGAATGTAAATTTAAGAAAAATTGCAGAAAGTTATTTTTATATTTCAAAAAGTATTGAAGTTGGAAAATGAAAGATGAAAATGTCCTGAACCGTTTGATAGTTAAACGTCCATCTTCCACATCCTCTGATTAAGAATCTCCGAAGGTTTCATTTAGTTTTACTCGTCTCTTAAAAAAGCAAAGGATCAATTTCCAGTAGCATGCCCACACCACTGGGTGGCAGGATGGAGCCTGGGTTAGTTTGACCTGGTGAGACCTCTGATCTGATCATGTCTCTGTCTTCACTGTCCCCCACTTTATAGCTCAGCCCGATACCATCTCCATGCCTGGCTCTGTGTCGTTACCCCTCCCCCTGTTCTGTCTAATGTCTCTCTCCAGTGTTGTCACAATATTGAATAAAGTTGTATGAGAGAGGATCGGGTGATGTAAGAAATTGAAACAGTATCACTGCTTTGAGTGTCTCACATCAAATGTGTTGTTGGACTCTTGTGATGCACACTCGGCTCTGTCATCAGACACAACTCACCTCTGTATTTGAAATGGAAACACTGACATTCTGCGAGTTGCTGGTGAGGGCTCTGCTCTTTACCTGTGTTTGTTGCCCCGTGTTGAGAATGGAAATATTAGTTTGCCAGTCAGCGATACGGTTGGCGATTATCCCCCTGCTGACACAGGCAACACACTGTTTTGGTGTTAACAAAACGCGAGTGAGAAACAGGCCATGACATAAACAGCTACGCCTCCGTCCACTGAGGAGGCACATGACACTCACTGACACAAGGACACGACGAAACAGGACGAAGGAAAACAGGCTGGGTTCTTACGGCTGTCAGTCATAAGGGTGCGAGTCGAGGTTTTTAAATTATTGCTTAAGCTTAAATGTAGGGCTGTGGCCGAAAGTAGATAAAGAAACATTTAAATATCAGTCAATATCAATGATTATTATGATATTATGATTGTGGTTTTAAACTCTTCACAATGCATGAGCATCATATCGAAACATACTGAATTTGAACTACATTCCTATAAATAAAAATTATAGTACGGTAATTATTACCTCTGCTGTGGAGGATATGTTTTCATACATGTTTCTGTTTCTACAGTAGATGTCAAATGTCTGCGTTATTATATTTATCATGAGCTTAATCATTCCCAGCAGGCCTATAATAAATAATTAGATTTTATATGATCTGAAATATACTCATTAAGATGGATATAATATTTACTCTAATAAAGTATTAGGACTATAAATATAATTTCTTATATGTTTTAATAGTGTAACGAGAACTAAAACCACAGCCTAATATTTTCTCTGGCAGGAAAAGGAATGAAAGCGAGTTGATCCATTCAGACAGAAATCTCTATGAATTGTGTTAAATGTGAGATGCAGCTCTGTGCGTTCATCTGTCTTTCTGTTGGTGTAATGATGAGGAAACCACTCAGAAGAAGAATGTCTGCTAATTATCCCCCGTCACCCCTCCTCCTCTGTTATTGATCCGGTCAGGCTGGTGTGAACTGTTTCTGTGGAGTTTCAACCTGTACAGTAGAAGACAGGTAGGAATGACATTCTTCTTCTCCCGGACCAACAGCAGGTTTATCTACAGCGACGGCAGTGAAGCAGACTTTCACAGGCTAATCTAATTTTGAGGCTGCAGTCGAACTTTTGGAATAATTGGACCAAATTGAATCCAGCTTTAGTAGAAGTGACAAGAAAACCCCTGAAGGGGAAACAGCAGCTTTTGGCTGGTTGCTGGGTAAGGATGCAGGCTCGGCAGCATCCTGATGATGCAAACAAACATTTTAATCTTCTCCAAATGATGTGCATTACTCAGCAGCAGACAAGTCACCAGAATAAGAATATGGTCATCAATATGACATTTGAACAAAACTGCCTTTTACGCAGAATTATGGTGAAGGGAAATGAGACACATCAATTAAAGTGTCTCAGTTTGCTTCTTACGATCAGCGATGGGGTTCATCATTAACACAATGTTTTCTGATTAACTTTATGATATTTCACATTAAACATTTCTGTATTTGTATTTTTCCTCATTGTTTTAAAGCTGATGTCATGTAGTCAGGATTTAACATTTAAAGTAGAGTCTGATGGTCATTTATTCACCATCAATAGATTCTAATCAAATCCACCAACACAAGCCCCAGTTTTGAAGTGTCAACATAGTAATAAACAGCATCACCTTTTCCACAGCAGTGATATTTATTAGTATTTATTTAAATACTTTAAAGCCATGAACTTTAAAATCAGCAATAAAATACTTTTTGGCAAAGAAATCAAGCTGTGAACACATCGAAATATCATCAACTTGTAAAGTGGTTTATGTTTATTTACACATTCAGCAGTAGTTATTTCTGGTTCCACATCGTAGACAGCGACGAACAAAGGTGGGACTTTGTGCCTCGTAACAAAACAACGGGCTAACCTGTTAGCAGCAGCGGAGGAGGCTCCACAGACGAGCAGGGCAACGTCAAGTGTTGCTGTTGTATGTGCGAACTTGATCAGCGGAAAAAGTGAAAGCACTAATCTACTCTCTCCTTTAGCTCGGATTT